GCAGGTGTCACTGCTGATGGAGAAGAAAGAGTCTGTGGCAGCAGAGACTTTTAAATCTAGGACTCTATTAAAGAGGTTTAATAGTAAATTTGCAATAATCCCCCCCCCCTTTTTTTTACTATTAAGATAGCTTAAGATGATAAAATGCAAAAATATAAAAGATGATTGACAAAATATGATAAAAAAAATTTGAAAAAGATAAATGAATAAAAATAAAAATACTTACAATTTGCAAGATGATGTTTGTTGAACATTCAGCAGTGACTGTATCTAACAGGTTTCTGAATCATTACTTTGATTTTCTGTTCATATAACTACCTTATTAATGTGCATGTGGTTTGGGTGTTAGCCAATGAGATAAATTAAAAAAATTATCATCACATGAATGTTCTGCTGTGTTTTAGACTATCTGAGGTACTTGTCCAATCAAAAATGCACCTTTATTCTTTCAAAATAGCATTTATAAGATTTATATTAAAAGACTTATAATTTGTCATTTGAACTTTTGCCAGCTGTTTGGGAAACCACATAAACTAAAAGGTAAGAGCCTAAAACTGTACCCTGTGGGACACACTTTCAGGAAATTTAGTTAGTTAACCTGGTGTTCATATGCTCAGAGCAACAGAGAAACCAAGCAGTTGTTTCATATGAGAAACTAAAGCTTTAACCTTATTTAGGATGATAAGAACTTCTCCAGGTCTAACCTGTTTTCCTTTAAAGGTCTCATTCACACATTTTTGCTTCAGACTTTAGAGCAAGCCTAAAGCCTGATTCATGCTTCTGCGTCTGCATCAGTGCGGAGACACACAACGCCATTATCCGTCCTTGCGGGCATGCTGGAGAGTCCTCGCAAGGACAGACGGAGTCGAGCTCTCTTTTCTAAACATCCGTCCATCGAGATGGAGAAAGCAAGCTTTTGATTGGTCAGGGCCAACAGCAGGAATGTGGATCATTATGTTGATCTTGGCCCTCTTTCTACATACTCAAAACCAATTGTTACCAGTTTGGGGGTGAAACTTGATGCAGGACTTAAATTTGATGCTCACATCAATTCTGTGATCCGGTCCAGTTTCTTTCACCTGAGACACCTTGCAGAAATCAAGCCTATGCTGTTGACAGCCCACGTGGAGCGGGTACTCCATGCTTTTGTAATTTCTAGGCTTGACTACTGCAACTCTCTCTATGCAGGGTTGTGTCAGTCATCACTGCGTTGCCTACAGGTTGTGCAGAACAGCGCTGCCAGGTTCCTGACTGGGACCAGGAAACGGGACCACATCAGTCCGGTTCTGGCCTCGCTGCACTGGCTTCCGATTTGCTATCGCTCACAATTCAAAATCCTTGTCTTTGTTTATCATTTCTTCCAGGGTGGGTGGTCCCCCCTATCTGGCCACTCTACTGAACAGACACTGCCCATCACGCGCTCTGCGCTCCTCTGACCAAGGCCTGCTCGCTGTCCCTCGGTCTAGGTGTCGTACCCGTGGGGACCGGGCTTTCTCAGTCCTAGCACCGTCACTCTGGAACCAGTCGCCACCATTCGTTAGGCTGTCCCCATCTCTGCCAGTCTTTAAGAATCACCTAAAAACACACCTCCTCCACTTGGCGTTTCCAGAACGTGTTTGATTTTGGCCCTCTTTTATGTTGAATTTATTTCACAGTTTTCATTGGTTCACTCTATCCATCCACTCAATCCAAATGTGTTTCACACATTTTTCCTGTACCAGAATGTTTCATCTATCTTGTAATTTCTATTTTGTAATTTGTATTTTGTAATTTGAATTGCTTTTATTGTTGATTTATTCAACATATTTACTTACAACTATACCATGTTCAGCGCTTTGGGCTTCCTGACAGGGTTGCGGAAGGCGCTTTATAAATTAAGCTTTGATTTGATTTGATTTGAGGGCGCCGCTGTCATCTACACCGCTGCCATTGTGCCCTCAAAAACATAAAGAGAGCCGAGGATATCTAGCGGCAGACACGGAGCAGCTTGAAGAATACCTCGCGAAAAAACTTAAAAATATGAATGTTTAATTCCCCGTGACTGGAGAAGTGAAAAGGAGCGTTTTATTTGTGGACGGAAATGACAGGAAACGTGGGTTTAGAGGTGGCGAGCGCATGAAGAGGTGGAGGAGAATGAGAGACAAATTTGTCTGTGTTAAAAAGTATCTTATATACAAAAAAAAAAACAACGTAAACACACTATCTTGGACCGATACATGACAGGATACCACAGAACAGCGCTACGCCTTCTGTTGTCCTGACGGGGAATTGCTTTGCAACACTCCCCAGGAGACGGAGAAGTATGAGAGCAAAATGTCTCCGTCCGTGCGTCTCTCCCTTTTGGAGCCGACGGAGAAGTATAAATCCAGCTTAAAGCCTCATTTATACTTCTCCGTGAGCTCGGCAACGGAGAGACGCACACGGAGAGACGCAGACGGGGAGACGCACACGGACGGACGCGCACGGACAGACGCACACAGTCAGACGCACATGGACAGACGCACACGGACAGACGTGCACGGAGGGACGCACACGGACAGACGCACACGGATAGACGCACACGTAGAGACGCACACGTAGAGACGCACACGGACAGACGCACACGGGGAGACGCACACGGACAGACGCACACGGACAGACGCACACGAACAGACGCACACGGACAGACGCACACGGACAGACGCACACGGAGAGATGCACACGGACAGACGCACACGGACGGACGCGCACGGACGGACGCACATGGAGAGACGCACACGGACAGACGCACATGGACAGACGCACACGGACGGACACACCCGAAGAGACTCATGGTTTATGCTTCTCCGTCAGCTCCGCAAGGGACAGACACGCACGGACGGACGGACGCGTTTTGCTCTCATACTTCTCCATCTCCTGGAGTGTGTTGCAAAGCAATTGCCCGGCAGGAAAACAGAGGGCGTAGCGCTGTTCTGTGGTATCCTGTCATGTATCGGTCCAAGATTGTGTGTTTATATTGTGTTTTTTGTATATAAGAGACTTTTTAACATGGACATATTTGTCTCTCATTCTCCTCCACCTCTTCATGCGCTCCCCACCTCTAAACCCACGTTTCCTGTCATTTCCGTCCACAAATAAAACACTTGCTGCGCATCTTTTCACTCCTCCAGTCACGGGAGAATTAAACGTTCATATTTTTAGAGTTTTTTCGCGAGGTATTCTTCAAGCTTCTCCGTGTCTGCCGCTAGTTATTCTTGGCTCTCTTTGCAATGGCGGCGCTGTAAATAACAGCAGCGTCCTGACCAATCACAAGCTTGCGTAATCCGTTTCGTTCGACGGATGTTTAAAAAAGTCGGCTCGACTCCGTACGTACTTACGTGCCTGCCGGAGCCCTACGCAAGGACGGATAATGGCGTTGCGTGTCTCCGCACTGACGCAGATGGAGAAGCATAAATCAAACACAGACAGACGCACACGCAATTAGTTCTTCAATTTGTTCTGGGTCTGCCGCTAAATATCTAACGGGGGAAGGGCATTGCTGGTGACGAATTTTCAGGAAGCGGCGTCCTGCCCAATCACAAGCTTGTGGTCTCTGTCACTTTTGACGGAAGTTTAAAATTTTGGGCATTTCTCCATCACCCTCTGTGAGCCCGTCGGAGAGTCCTTGCGCCAACGCATAATGGCGTTGTGCGTCTCCGAAGCAGACGGTGAAGAATAAATCTGCCTTAAGTGTCCTCCTCTTCCCTTGGCTCGTGGGTCCCTGAACGGGAATAAAAAAAACTATTTTCTAATCCGCTTTGCCGTATGCCCTGAATCACACACATGTTTTACACACATATGTTTTATTTCAATTTATGTGATAAATAATGATGTGTTTCGACCACGCCTGTCATGTACTTTGAGATTTATCAGTTTGTCAGTGCGCCCCAGGGCAGCTGTAGCTACATCGTAGTTCATCCCCACCTGCGTGTGAATGGATGAATGATACACTGTAATGTAAAGTGCTTAAGAGTCTTCTGACTCTGAAAAGAGCTGTACAAGTGCGGGTCATTTATCATTTAATTACTATGACTAAAATCAGACGTTAGACTGTGTCTTTAAAATTCACAGACATCATGTATAATCCATGGCACATAACAGACGGATTAGAAAATAGCCCCGTTGACTTGCATTTATTTTATTTTTCCAGGGACCCGTGATCCTTAAGTAGATGGGTGTGACTTATGGGCTTCCTAGTGTGGAAAAAACTGGCACTTGCACTTCTGTTTGAGTGAGTAGATGTTTGCCAGAGGCAGAAAACAGCAGAATTTAGAGTCTCATTCACTAAAATTCATGATATGCAAACGTATCACCTCTGATTGGCTAACAGCAACGCGACTCGTCCATTGCCTTCTAACAAAACTACTGATCATCTGGTTGAAGGAATTCTACTTTTTTCTGCACAACATTTCAGCACGAGCTCACGTGCACTAATGAGCACGTACAGCTACACCTACAGAAGCAATCCAACACGACATGGTGCACAATAATAAAACAATTTCTTAATAGGAAATAAGGATTAAAATGTAAGATAACAATAAAGGACTAATAATTTAATCCTGAGATATGAATAATAATGTTGCCATCCCCACTTTGTGGTAAAACAGCTTTACCAAAAGAAGAATCCCTGATGGTTCAAGCTCCACCAGGCAGGAAGAGATTTTATCCAATTATCCCATTTACGGTTCAGAACTTTCCAGTTAGAGGAACATGGTCAGGTCTGTCAGCAGGATGCTGCTCCGGCTCTTTATTAGTTCACTTCTGGCATGAAAACACTTATTTGAAGACCTAAAATTTGTTCAGTTGTGCAGATTCTGTAATTTAATAGGTGAGAACTGAAATAGAAAAACATTTTTAGAGAACTAAACCTGCAGCTCGAATCAGTGAGTGGATGTTTCAGACGTGTGAAAGTGGAGCTCATGTAAAATTTAAACACCCTTGAAGCGGGTAGTCAGCGTGCATCAGTGTCAACGTACACGCACCTGAGAGACGGAGGCTGTGGACGTTTTGACGCGCTGCTGAAACAGGACACTCAGGATTCGGTTCTGCTGCTCCAAGTCAAACACGCGAGTCCGCAGCTTCACACACTCCTCTTTCAGATCCTGGAAAATAAAAACTCAACCACATTCAGGCTGGAAGAGGAGGTCGTTTGGTTCATCAGAGGTCTCTTGTTCTCTAGAAACAAACCTTTTGTGTGAGGAGAGCCTGGACCACCTGGTTAGCCACCTGGAAGAAACATTACAGTTTAAAATGGTGCTGGAGCCTCCAGCTTTGACATGCATTTATTCTCATTATGCAGTTTGAAAATGGAACAAATGCATATTTTGAGGAAATCGTTCCATTGTTCTCATGTATTTTCATGATGTAATCATGAGAACAAAAACCGTCACATCTGAAACATCTTCTCTTCTCTTCAGCTCATCGCTGAACCATAATAACCAAGTTTCTCCATCTTTATGCCACTACCATAATTTCCGGACTATGGAGCGCATCTCAATATAAGCCGCACCAAAAAAAAAAAAAAAAAAAAAAAGGTTTTCTACACACACACGCCACACTCAAATACAAGCCGCGGTGCAGCAGCCACATGCAGGTCTCCGGCGCACAGCGCATGTACGACCATAACATAAGATAATTAGACAGAAAGACGCTACACGGAGGTTTTTCATTGTTGTTTTAATTCAACAAAACAAATTTTAAACATGGGTGAGCACTGATAGTATTCATATTTCTGGATGGTTATAAAGTAAAAACAGCACGGACACGTTATTACCGGTCATTTGCATGTTTAGAAGAAAAGAACAGTGCTGACACAGCATTAATAAGCCCTGGATGATTAGAAAATAAAAACTGCACACAAAACATGCCTGGTTAGTAAATAAAACACACTTGCCTACCAGAAGAAGTCATTCGCTCTCATCTTCCTCCTGCGCACTAAAGCCATTAAAGTCCTCTTCTTCAGTGTCGGAGTTGAACAGCCTCAGAAGAGCTTCGTCACATACCTTTTCTGTGGCGATGTCAGTGTCGCTGTCCGTGTTGCTGTCATCATCCCCGGGTGAAGCTGGCTTGAATGAGTTCTTCCCGCTAGCTTATGTGCGGCAGCACTGTTTCCCTCCTTTACTGCCAGATCGATGGCCTTCAACTTAAATGCGGCATCATATGAACTCATACGTGTAGTTACCATGATGAGGGGGTATGGATTTGAAAACAATTCTTCGTCGTGGCTGCTTGCATGTGCTAAATTAAAATGAGCACTTACTTCGATTTCCACTTTTGACTTCCACCTGTTTCACGTTCTGCTAAAGCGCCCCCTGGCAGGTGAAGGAACATCTTCAGTAAAGCTGCACCTCATTATAAGCCGCATGGTTCAAAGCGTGGGAAAAAAGTAGCGGCTTATAGTCCGGAAAATATGGTAAATGACTATCTTTTATCTTCGCATGAAAACACCTCGCCTCAGCTCTTCAGACCCTAATGTAGAAAGCCTCGGCAGAAGGATTTACAGGCAGGACAGGACAGGGAAGCAGCAGAGGAGCAGGAATTATTCTCACAGCAGAAACTCAACCAGTTTCATTCTCACTGGCAGCTCTCTCCCAGGTAATTAGTGAAGGCTGCCATGAAAAAAAAGAGCTTCGGTTTCTCTGAGATGGAGACGCTTCAAAGGGATGGGGGGAGGAAGACCACTTCCAGGTGGCCTGGCCCATCTCTGCTCCTGTATGATGACAAAATTATATCCATCCATCCATTTTCATCCGCTTATCCAGAGTTGGGTCGCGGGGGCAATAGCCTAAGGCGAGATGCCCAGATTTCCCTCTCCCCAGCCACTTGGGCAAGCTCCTCTGTGGGAATCCCAAGGCGTTCCCTGGCCAGGTGGGAGACATAGTCCCTCCACCGTGTCCTGGGTCTACCTTTAGGTCTTCTCCTCGTTGAACGTGCCCAGAAAACCTCACCAGGGAGGCGTCCAGGAGGCATCCTGACCAGATGTCCGAGCCACCTCAACTGGCTCCTCTCGATGTGGAGGAGCAACGGGTCTACTCCGAGCCCCTCCCGAATGACAGAGCTTCTCACCCTATCTCTAAGGGAGAGCCCAGCCACTCTGCGGAGAAAACTCATTTTGGCCGCTTGTATCCGCAATCTCGTTTTTTCGGTCACTACCCAAAGCTCATGACCATAGGTGAGGGTAGGAGCGTAGATCGACCGGTAAATCGAGAGCTTCGCCTTCTGGCTCAGCTCTCTCTTCACCATGACAGACCGGTACAACGCCCGCATCACTGCAGATGCAGCACCAATCCGCCTATCGATCTCACGCTCCAGTTTTCCCTCACTCGTGAACAAGACCCCGAGATACTTCCTGTATCTGAGGTTCAACAATCTGATGGACCCTCCTCTCCAGAACACCTGAATAGACCTTACCAGGAAGGCTCAGGAGTGTGATCCCCCTGTAGTTAGAACACACCCTGCGGTCCCCCTTTTTAAATAAGGGGACCAACACCCCAGTCTGCCAGTCCAGTGGGACTGCCCCCGATGTCCACGCGATATTGCAGAGCCGCGTCAGCCAACACAGCCCCACAACATCCAGAGCCTTAAGGAACTCTCCGGGCGGATCTCATCCACCCCTGGAGCCTTGCCACAGAGGAGCTTTTTAACCAGCTCAGTGACCTCCGCACCAGAGATTTGAGAGGCTAACCCAAAGTCCCCAGACTCTGCTTCCTCACTGGAAGACGTGTCGGTGGGATTGAGGAGGTCTTCGAAGTATTCTGCCCACCGATCCACAACGTCCTAAGTAGGGGTCAGCGGCACACCGTCCCCACTATAGATAGCGTTGGTAGCGCACTGCACACCCCCCCCCCCCCCCCCCCCCCCCCCTCGGAGGCGCCGGATGGTGGACCAGAATCTCCTTGAAGCTGTACGGAATTCTTGCTCCATGGTCTCACCAAACTCCTCCCATGCCCAGGTTTTTGCCTTGGCAACCACCCGAGCTGCGTTCAGCTCGGGTGGTCGACTCTTTCTTCAGCTTGGTAGCATCCCTAACTGCAGGTGTCCACCAGCGGATTCGGGGGTTGCCACCACGACTATCATGTTGTGGGCAAGGTGCTTAAATCAGGATGTGAAGAACCACACGTGAAAACCAGGTAAGTAAAAGAGTAAAATATTTTATTAAATTAAGCTAAGGAAAAACTAAGGGTGCTGCTCCAGAAAAGCAGGAACAGGAACTGACCAGAAATCTAAAACGAAAAAATAAACAATCGTGAATACGAGGCGGAACCAGAGAACCAAGAGAATGATAAGTTTGGTGTGGCGTGGTGAGGGGCGATACTAGAAACAAGATCATGCAGGATCTCATTGAACAAGTTCGTTGGAAGACCAGGTAATGTACTGGGCTAGAAGCTACCCTGGTGAGACTTTCAACCGGCGCTGGAGTTGTGTCACACCGCTCCTTAAATCCCCTGGCTCTTTGATTAGTGGAATCAGGATCAGCTGGAGCTCATGCCACGCCCATCTGCAACACAAACACCTGACTGCCTCACCTGCTGATAGAGGCAGACCGTGACAGTACACCTCCCTCAAGGGACGCCACCCGGTGGCCCAGCCGAGGAGGAGGAGGTGGAGGGAGAGGCAGGACAGGAGGCCTCGAAGTTCAGGAAGAGAGAGGGATCTTCGATCCAGGACCCAGGGATCCACTGCCGGTGCTCAAGACCATACCCCTCCCAGTCCACCAGAAACTGGCGACCACGTCCGCGCGGCCGGACGTCCAGGACGCGGTGAACCTTGTAGCCGAGCCCACCATCAGCGAGGCGGACCGGCGGAGGAGAATCGGCAGTGGGCACAGAGGACTGGAAACTATAGGCTTGAGCAGGGAGACGTGAAACACTGGATGTGCCTTCATAGATGGAGGCAAGGACAGGTGGATGGAGACGGGACCGAGAACCTAGGCTACAGGGAACAGGCCGAGGTAGCAGGGAGAAAACTTCCTGTTGGCGCCCCGGACCTTGATATCCCGAGAGGAGAGCCAAACCATCTGCCCAGGGGTGTAAACAGACACCGGACGTCTGTGACGATCCGCAAGCCTGCGATTGCGATCAGCTGTGCGTTGAAGGGCAGCCCGGGTCTGGTTCCATGTGTGTCGAGCCCGGCTGAGAAACTGGGGAGCTGTGGTGGAGGCAACCGAGTTGTAGGGAAACAGAGGGGGTTGATATCCAAGGGAGACCTCAAATGGAGACTGACCTGTGGAGGCAGAGGTGTGGGAGTTATGGGCATACTCCACCCATGACAATTGTCAACTCCACCCAGCAGGGTTCGAGGCACAGGGTGGTTCCATGGCCTCCAGCTCCTGGTTCATACGCTCCACCTGGCCGTTAGTCTATGGGTGAAAACCAGAGGTGAGGGAGACCTGAGCCCTCAAGTAGTTAGCAAACTCAGTCCAGACCCGGAATATGAACTGGGGACCTCGGTCTGACAGGATTTCAGTTGGCAGACCATAAAGGCGGTAAACATGTTTCACGAGCAGTTCAGCGGTTTCAGCAGATGAAGGGAGTGACTTCAGTGGGACCAGATGGCAGGCTTTAGAAAAACGGTCGATCAATGGTGAGTATGACAGTGAACCCTCTGGATGTGGGGAGACCAGTTACAAAATCCAGGGCGATGTGTGACCACGGACGAGGAGGGACCGGCAGAGGCTGGAGGAGACCCTGGGGAGACTGGTTACTGCTCTTGTACCTGGCACATACCTGGCAGGCGCTGATGTACTCCTTTACGTCCCTATACATGGATGGCCACCAAAAGGTCCTTCTGATGAGAGTTATGGTTCTGCCAAGACCAGGATGAATGGAAAACCTCGCCATATCTGCCCAATGCATAAGAGCCCCTCAAGTGCTGGAAGGAACATAAATTTTGTGTGGTGGACCGGTACCTGGATCTGGTTCATGTTGTTGAGCCTCCAGGACCTTGTTCGTTATGTCCCAGGAGATGGAGCCGACTATGCAGGAGGCAGGCAGGATGGTGGTGGGTTCCACCTCTATCCGAGGCATATTGGCGAGAGAGAGCATCAGGTTTAATGTTCTTGGAGCCGGGCCTGAAAGAAATGACAAAGTTGAAACGGGAAAAGAATAACGACCAGCGAGATTGACAGGGGTTCAGCATCTTAGCCTCCTTGAGGTAAGCCAGGTTCTTATGGTCGGTCCATATGATTATGGGGTGTTCTGCTCCTTCTAACCAGTGGCGCCACTCCT